TCTCTGGTCAATTTTTTTTTTTTTAAGGCAGTAACAACAAATCAAGATTAACAAAAATCATCATAATTCTTTTTAAAAAGAAAATCCAGGGAACCAGCAGTTAGCGTAATGATTATGTCGCTGGACTCCCACGTAGTCGACCGCGGTTCGCGTCCCGGACCTGGTGGCTTAAAACTCACGCCGGGCGCATGTGCGTGCGTGCCCAAGATCACGAGAGGAGAATGGAGGAGAAGGGATTGCAGCGTGACCATCCCCTCTGGGGGGTGATTTCTCGCTTTCTGTCTCTATATTTCTTTCTGTCTGGCGAGTGCACATGCCCTATAGCGAAAAAAAAAAACTCTCCAAAAAAAGAAAATCCAGACAGGAGGATGGAGAAGGAATGGCCAAAGACTTGGGAGAAGGGATTGTGGTGTGTCGCCAGTCCTTTGGGGCGATTTCTCACTTACCCTCTTTCCAAAATCAAAACAATAAGAAAGGAAATAAGAAGACTTACATTCCTCCTAGAAGCAGATTTTCAAAAGGTGACGTGTCTAACAGTCTCAGGAGATAGGGAAACCTTTCTACATGAGGGTTTAGTAACTGAAGCTCATTTTTTCTAGTGAGAAAAAAAACAGCTCTAAAAATTGTTTTGGTTTTCCCCCAAAACTACTTCCACATAATAGAATCTCTAAAATGTGGAGCCTGGTTTCTTTCTTTCTTTTTTTTTTAAAGGTCTCTCTCATAGGTGTGTGCACTCACCAGAAAGGAGAGAGAGAAATAGCGAGGTAAAGTAAGAAGTCACTCCTCCCCCACCCCAAGGAGAAAGGACACACTGCAATCTATTCTCTTCCTTTTTCTTCTCAAGATTTTGGGTGCACATGTGCCCAGCCTATCAGGCCAAGAAGTCCGAGACTCCAACTGCAGTTGGCCATGTGAGTCAAGCACCATAACTACCATGCCACCTGCTGGTCCCAGGTTTCCCCATCTAAAATCAGGGATGACAAAGACAAGATAGAAATCTATTAAAAGACCACAGAAGTATCTACTATTAAGTAGGCATATAGTTAATAGAACCAATCATTATAAAAAAGCCCAAGATAGTTGCCCAGCAAGTACTTAACAAACATTAAAGTAAAATATTACAAAGTAGTCTTTCCTTCCACTTACGTGGAAAAAGTCTATGAAAGGAAGAGTTACTCTCTTGCAGATTTTACATCTCATTCTCCCTGCTATATGCAGAATAAAATCCAAATTCCTGAAGAATTCCTAAGAGGAAGACCCTGAAAGATTTGGCCTTCAGTCTCCTTCCAACTGGACCTCTTGTCTATAACCCGGCCAGACTTTCCAAGCTCCATCTACAAATTCTCTTTTTTTTGGGAGAGGTTTTCACTACAGGGTGCATGCGCTCGCCAGACAGACAGAGAGAGACATACAGACAGAAAGCGAGAAATCACCCCCCAGGGGGGATGGCCACGCCACAATCCCTTCTCCTCCACTCTCCTCTCGAGATCTTGGGCACGCACGCACACGCGCCCGGCGTGAGTTTTAAGCCACCGGGTCAGGGACACGAACCACGGTCGACTATGTGGGAGTCCAGCGACATAGCCATTTTGCTAACTGCTGGTTCCCAATCCACAAATTCTTGATGATCTAAGCTTTTTGCCTCTTCAGTCTAGCACAATTCCCTCTACTTCAAAAGTCCTTCTCTCTCCCATATATTTGACATAGCTGGTTCCTCCTCTGCCTTAAGTTTTAAATGCCACTGTCATAGATTCTCAGTACACCTACTCTCTCAATAATAACCTGTCCTTTTACTTCTCAGCTTAACATTTTATAATCTTGCTTATTAGTGTTTCTGTCCCCAAAAATTCCATGAAGCCAGAAAACATCTACTTAGTTCACTCAGAACCTGGTAAAGCCTGAAATGTAAAACACAGCAAGCATTCAACTTAGTATCTACTAAAAGCAATGAGACCCTTTTATAATTCTTCCTCACATATAAGCATTTACTTTTGTTCTCTATCAAATTAGTTTAACCCAAATCTTCTAAATTACACAGAAGTGAAAGGATTTTTTTAAGAATTATTTTATTTAACTTTATTTATTATTATCATTATTATTTTTCAGTTTGATCAGAGAGAGACAGAGAGGAAGTGAGAAAGCAAGCCACCAGGTCTGAGACTTGAACTGTGATCGGCCATGTGTGAGTCCAGCGCCTTTAACCACCACGCCACTTGCCGGCCCCAGAAGTGAAAGGATTTAAATCCATAACAAATTAATCTGCACTTTATCTATTTTCCTAATCCTGAAGTATAGTAGAACAAAAATGAGTATAAATACCCAACTTCTATATTCCTGTTCTCACTTTAATCCTGGCACACCACTTTGCAAGACCAGAAGAGGTTAATAAACACACATGTAGGCTAGCTTCACTTTCTAGTCAAATAAACGTTTCCCATTTCATTCTGTCCAATCTGATGGCACACTAAGTCTCCCTGAAACTATTCTAATTTTTCCTTCACCGTCTCTTGTTATCCATCCTTTTCTCTTGCCCTTCATCCTTTATTGGAGTATCACCAAACAGACACCCTCCCCATCCATTTTCTCCATGGACAGCTTCAGTCAACCATGCTGGGGATCCCATATGAATATTTCCCAACAAACCTCTCCATCTGCCACAGGAGAGACCCAACATACTTGATCACATCACACATCAGGTCTTGTTTTCATTTCTTGCATAATTCCTCTGGTCCAGTCTTCCTCACCAGCCATTTTATAATTGTCACTATCTGTCCTCTTTGGGAAAACCATCTAAGCCCAAACACTCACAGAGATTAAAGTATACAATTACCTAAGTGACCTCACCTACATCCCCATATCCCCAACACACACCTCACCCTTCACAGATACTTGTACAATGATGACAATTAACAAGTCTCCTTGAACTAAAAAACCCAGAAAAGTTATACTATTCCTCTCCAAGTGATTTCATCAAATTCCTCTAATGAACTTCCCTAACTTTACCTATTCAGGCCATTCCCCTTTTCTATTTCTAACCAGGCCTAAATTAGGCAGGTCATATTGCTGCTTGTTATCCAATAATCTTATTCATACTCCAGAGCCCACTATTCAACCTATCTCTTTCAAGTTACTTTCTAAATGTGCAGTTCTAGATTTCTTTTTCTTGGATTTCTAAAACATTTAAATTTGCACTGTTTTAAATACAGCTGACCCTTCATAGCCATAGGTTCTATATCTGCAGGTGAAACCAACTACAAACAAAATATTCAGGAAAAAAAGGACTGTATCTCCCCGAACCCACAGACATTTTTCTTGCCGTTATTCCCAAAACAATACAAATAACAATTATTTATGTACCACTTCCATTGTATTGACATTATAAGTAATCTAGGGGTGACTTAGTCTTCAGGTAGATATGCACTGGTTATATACAAACACTGTGTCATTTTATACAAGGGACTTGAGCATTTTCAGATTTTGTTATTGAAAGGAGAGGTCCTAGAATCAATCTACCCCCTCCCGGACACCAACAATGACTATATAACAAAACTATAGACTTTTACACTCTAATAATAACGCAGTATCATATAAATTATTTTCTTTTCTATTAATTTGTTTCCTTTTTTTCCTGCAAGATTTTTGCTATAGAGTATGTTCGCTAGCCACAGAGACAGAGAGACACAGAAAGACATAAATCACCCACCAGGGTGGATGGCCATGCTGCAATCCCCTCTTCTCCAGTCTCCTCTTTGGGCACACAGCCACACGTGTCCGGCTTAAGTTTGAAGCCACTAGGTCGGGGACTTGAACCAAGGTCAACCTCGGTTGGGAGACCAGCGACGTAACTGTTATGCCATCTGCTGATCTTTTTTTTGTTTGTTTTAGTATTTCTTTTTAAAGAATTATTTTATTTTAACTTTATTTATTTATTTTAATTTGACAGGGACAGTGAGAAAGTGGGGGGGTGCAAAGTGAGAAAGCAAGTCACCAGGTTCAGGACGTAAACTGTGGTTATCATGTGGGAGTTCAGCGCCCTTAACCACCCCACCACCTGTCAGTCTGTTTTTATATTTTAATAAATATTCTTAGTCAAGAGGATTATAACAGACATAACAGGTTATTATGCAGTATTGGATCAAGTTTTTTTTTTTTTTAAAAAAAGATACTTTTGCTATAGGGTATTTGCATGCACTTGCCCGGGATATAGAGACAGAAAGTGAGAAGTCATCCCCAGGGGAGATGGCCACATCACAATCCCTTCTCCTCCATTCTCCTCTTGGAATTTGGGGAATGCACATACGCATACATGCTCCACCTGAGTTTTAAGCCACCGGGTCCAAGACTTGAAACGCGGTCAACTACATGGGAATCCAGCAACATAACCATTATGCCATCTGCTGGTCCCTAGGTACCTTTCTAAAAAATTTGCCAAAGGGTACATGCACTCTCCACAGACAATAGAGGGAGAGAGAGAAAGCACCCCCCCCCCAAAGAGAAACGATCACACCACATTTCCTCTCTTCTGTTTCTCCCTTTCAAGATTTTGGCCATATGCACACACACACCGTTCAAGTTGCCACATTCAGGACTTACACCACATAGTATGCCATGTGAGATCCAGTACTCTTAACTAACAGACCATGAACTGGCCCACATTAAGGTACTTAAAATTTTTTTTTCTTCATTCATGACTGAATGTGAGGGAGGGAGGAAAAAAGAGCAAAAAAGGGGAGGAGGAGAATGGAGAGGTAGGGAGGGAGAAGAACTAATGAGCACCCTCAACAGGATCTGGTCACATCTTGTGATTCCCTTCCTCTAGTCCTCCAGCCCATCAGATCTTGAGCACTCACGACTGCTATGCAAAGCTGAAGAAACACGTGAAATCTAGTTTATCTTGAGTAGCACATTACTACTGCACCATGGATCTGACACAGATTAAGATACTTTTATTTTTCTTAAGATAATGCTAGATAATTTATCTGGCTTAATCACCAACTTACTTGAAACATGTTATCATCTCTGCTGCTGCTGCTCTGTTTGGAAGATGACAGAGCTCTAGAAGTTTCACCAGTCTTTTGCTTCTTTACAGGTTTTTCTGGAGCAACTTGCTTTTTCCTCTTTAACTTGGAATACAAAAAGGAATAACAGTTAAAATTAGCATACATAACAGTAAAACATATCTACGCCAACTTATTCATTAAGGAAACAATCATAAATGTATAAAGGATTTTAAAAACTTAATGAAAACTGCAAGTATGAGTTTATTTTTATACAAAAAAGTTGAAATTCACAGGCTTTCTTCATAACAGGCATTTTCCATGAACTCTTGAAAACTCCTGAAATAAACTAAGTTTCACTTAACAATAAAGTATTATTACTCTGCCTCTAATAAATACTTAAATCCAATTGTGTTTCCAATTTCCAAAGAATACTTCAGGCTTGAGTGGTCATTTTGTGGATGGTGATCTCTTATATAACACTTCTTTGCTCGAGTTAAAAAGATGGGAGGCTGGCTGCATTTAAACTTTGAGAAATCACGAGTCTATTCATCAGTTACTTATTTTACACAAAACAAATATACTAAGTAGGAAGAATACAACTATTCCATTACTATGGCATTACTAACTTATTTTTATGCCCTGCCTATTCCATAAAGGATTTAAATTGGATTAAAGAATTTAAGATTATACAAAGTTAAAGAAAGCTATTTTATGCTGGGCACTTGAGGTCAACAATTCAAAAATTTCCTCACAAAACAACCACTGAAGATACAGATAGCGGGGACTAGCAGATGGCATAGCAGTTACGTTGCTGGACTCCCACGTAGCTGACTATGGATCGAGTCCCAGACTTGGAGGCCTAAAACTCGCCGGGAGCATGTGCCAGCATGCCCAAAATCCCTAGAGAAAGGATTGTGGCATGGCCACCCCCCACCCCGCCGGGGAGTAATTTCTTGCTTTCTATCTGTCTCTCCCCAGCAAGTGCTGTGCCATATACCAAAAATCTCTCTCAAAAAAGATATAAACAGCAATGTATTGTTAGACTAGCATTCAAAACACGTTTTTAAAAGCAGTATTATTCTAAAATTGTCTATATAACCTAATTCTCAAAAGGAGTTAACAGCTAAGGAACCAGCAGTTGGCATAATGGCCATGTTGCTGGACTCCCATGTAGGTGACCACGGTTCGAGTCCTAGACCAAGTGGTTTAAACTCATGCAGGGGGTGTGTGCTTGCGTGCCCAAGATCCCGAGAGGAGAATAGAGAAGGGATTGCGGTGTGGCCATCCCCCCCCATGGGGGGGGTGATTTCTCACTTTCTGTCTGTCTCTGTCTTTCCGGCAAGTGCACTCGCCCTACAGCAAAAACCTCTCCCAAATAATAAAAAAAAAAATTTTAATTTAAAAATAAAGGAGCTAACAGCCCATAAAAACCACTAGAGTACCCAACCTAAACAGTAGAGGGCAGTCATGTTTCTTCTCCTAGAAAAGCATATTAAAAATATTTTAATGCTACTAAATTAACTCACTAAATTAAATCAAGTTATGTAAAATATTTTACATACATGTAAAACAAAATGAAAAACATGGATGAATTTCATGTAAGTGCTTACAAGATTACTAGAGCTATGTTGGACAAACAGCAAAAAATTAGCTCAATAAGCAGAAAGCAGTAATTATAACTCTTTAAATGAGGATCTAAGTAGTCCCCATGGACTAGTACATGTCTAGCACATAAAAGCTTAATACAAACTTGTCATGTGAACATATGCAAAGGCTACACTGAGCATATACATAAAACTCACAGATTTCTTCTTCAAATACAGCTATCTATACTCTTTGAAGCCTTACTTCAACTTTCCAGAAGGTAATACATTGTGTATATTTACTTCCAAGGTTCCAACTTCAAGATTCTCCCATAAGCTCTTCTTGTTCTTTCAGTTAACACTAAACTTTGGGGGAAAAAAGATAGGAGGGGAGGGTGTCTTCTACTGTTGAATAAACCTCTGGAATTCAAAGTACTATTACAACTGGTTGACTATTTCCTTACAAAAGAGATATATACTGATTAAGAAGAATATAACCAACTTATTCTAAGATACATTTATTCATATATATAAACTTCTATGAGATAAAGGACAGTTCTGCAAGCAAGGAACTCTTGACCACAGGGTGAGATGTTCAGTTATGCTCTACTGAGATGCTCAAGTAGAATGCACCACTTAACAGCAGTTGTCATCAAATGCAGAGAAAGCCTATTCTGTCAAAATGGGTTGCTTCACGTTAGCTTTACTGGCTGCTGATTTACTAAAAGGAAGAGACCAGAACAAATAATATTCAAACTTAAAACTGTACCGAGCTTGAAATTTAGCAATACTTACGAGCAGAATAAATACTAATGGCTCCAAAGACAGTCAAAATTAGTATTTGCATTCAAAAATTCAGGTAATTTGGCCCAACTACAATACCTAGAGATTACACAGATTTCTAAATAAAGGCAAATAGTGGCTTTGACCTAATTAAATTCTATTCCCCTAGGTCTAACGCATGGTTCTACAACATTAGAGTTCCTAAGATCCTCAAAAGAAGACTTAAGTCTGATTTAAGTCCTAGGAATGTGGAGGTGCAACAAACATCCTACGCAGTGGGCAAGTGGTGCAAAGGTGATAGGCACTCCCAGAAATTCATTTTAAGATTGTGATATGCTGGGACCAGCAGATGGCATAATGGTTATGTCGCTGGACACCCACATAATCTACCACAGTTCGAGTCCCGGACCTGGCAGCTTAAAACTCACACTGGGCACATGTACATGCATACACAAAGTCCCAAAAGGAGAATAGAGGATAAGGGATTGTGGGATAGCCATCCCCCTGGGGAGTGATTTCTCACTTTCTGTCTTTCTCTGTCTCTCCAGCTAGCACACATGCCCTAAAGCAAAAAAACTCACTTAAAAAAAAAAAAAAAAGGTTGTTATGCCTTTTACTATCTTTCAAAAGTGAATGCAAGTGATATTGCTAAATTATCACAACAATGATGGGCAATAATAGTCACCTTCTTGTCAACTTCACTGTCAGAATCACTGCCAGAAGAGCTTGATGAAACAAGTTCCTTTGATTTAGGCATTCTGAAAGGAAAACACATTATGTAAATGATTTATTTACAACTGCTATATTACCTTCCACTTGCTCTATTATCTCTTCCCCAATCAAAAACATCAAAGATAAGTCCTATGGTTCCTTCTATCATTTTTTGTTACTGGAGTTGTTAACACTGAGCACAAATTTTCATTTGTACTAAACTGCAAATAACGTGAACAACAAAATATTCTGGACACAGTAAGAAGGAACTAAATGTCATATACACTCACACTCCTATAATAACTCTTTCTCAAAGCCAGTCGATCTTTCTTCTTCATTTTAGTGGGGTTACAAGTTTATGAATAGGGTAAATTGCAAAAAGGCAGCTGACAACAATGATTACTAAAATCAGAAAAACAAAATGTGAATAATTCTACTCAGCATTGCTTTATTCTTCTGAATTCATACCAGTGTAGAATTATTCAGGGGAATTGACTCCAACATTCCTACAACAGAAGCAGCAGCTGCAGATGTGACATATAATTTTGCCATTATAATATTTTCATATTTCATATAGTAATTTTGTCTTTATCATCAAAACAATCGGTATTAATTCAGAGTTTACAAAATGATACATGGGGCTTCAAAATATTTGTGGACAGGGCCAGAAGGGGCCTGATTGTTAAGGTGCTGGACTCACATGTCCAACCACAGTTGGAGTCCCAGATCTGGTGGCTTAAAAAATCACTCTGGGTGTGTGTACCCATGTGCCCAAAATCCCAGAAGAGAAATGAAAGGGAACGGTTTGGAGAAGAGATTGCAGTAAGGCCATCCCCCTGGGGGGTAATTTCTCTCTTTCTTCTCACTATGTCTCGTCTTGGTCTCTAGCTAGCACACATGCCCTATGGCAAAAAGCTTTAAAAAAAAGTTTGTGGAGGGGGAAAAACTCATCTTTTAATTCCACTTTTCCACTAACTTTCTAAAGCCCCCTCGTATATAAGTCACAAGAATAATTTTCTACTAGGGGAATATAATTTAAATTTGAACAGTCTGTTTATAGGAGAGACAAAATCTTTCCTCAAATTCACAGCATGCAAATAGTTTCCCAAGTTCCCCCCAGAGAGGCAGCAGTCTAATGCCTTAAGTGGATGTTTACTGAGAGCCTGAAGGCAAGGCAAAAAGCAAACCAGTAAGCCTAAACCCAAATTTCAAGAAATTCCAAAGTTATATGGGTCCCTCTTTTTAAAGTCATTTATTAATAAATATAATACCAGGTGGTAAACCACTAATTACCCAAGTATCATTTGTTCCTTGTATCTCAGAAGAGGCTGGGTCCTATTAATTTTTTTATGCCCTGAAGGCCCTAATAAACAACACACAAAATTTTTGTTACATAAAGAGGAAAAAAGACCTTGCTTTCTCAGTTAAAAAATAATGTATCATAACTCTCTCTCTAGATTATACTTGCATTAGCACTGGCATTAAATGTGATCCACAATAGGAGGTCAAGGTAAAGGAAATGGGCCATCCCCATCTGGTCATTAAATTCAAAATGCTCAAACGATGCCCTATCCAGCCAAGCTGATTTTAACTGGTAATTTCTCTAAAATGAGAAGAGTAAATTGTGAAGGAAGCAGCAACGTTCATAACCACCATTTGTTCATTTTTTTCCTGGTACTGTTTCATTTCACCACCTAATCTCCAAAGTCAGTTCAGTTTTTTTGTGCTATTTGCTAACACAACTCCCCAAGAAACTTTTCTTATCTTAAAGGTACTTAAACCGAACGTAATCAAGTATAACTGCCGTCTGTCAAGCTGCCGAGGAGCCTAAGATCATTTCGAAGAATCCCCTTGTACTTAACCCAAATAAGTCTACTCGAAAAAACACGGTATCGGTAACTAAAGCCAGACTCTTTGAACGTTTGACAAAATATATTTTTACTTTTAATAAGTCTTTATAGTTCCGAGAGGGGGGAAGGAGCCAGGAACTGGCTCGTAATTTAGGGACACGACACTAAAAGCGTTACTGCACGTTATCTACAAAAGTCAACTTAAAAAAAAAAAATCTTTGGTCTTGCTTTTCGGCATGGGGAAGGATAATAAAAACCGACGAGAAAATAAACTTAGGAATGAACAGCACTTGAATTAGGCACCAACACGCGGGTGACAAGCACGAGGGGGTAGGGAGGTCGGTACCAGGAAGCTGCGAGAAGCTAGGGAGCAAACCCAGCAAGCCTAAACCCCAGGGGCTGGCAACGGCTCCGGGGAGGAGGGACAGGTTGGTCGGAGGGGGCGTGGGAGGCGGCCAAGTGCGGAGCAGACCGTGTGGGAAAAGGAGGGACTTGCACCAAGCGCCATTTTCTTCCCTCGACGCGTTCCCTCCCCCCGCAAACCAGCCGTCCTCCCCGGCCGCGGCCCCTCTCGCCGCCCCCTTCCGACTGGGTCTGCTCTCCCCCGCGCCCAGAGCGCCCCCGGCCCGCAGCGCGGCGGCGGAAGCACCGAGCGAGGCCAGGGGGAGGGGCAGGCCCGCACGCTCCCCAGTCG